GTTAAATATTTTTATATTTGATCGACATATAGTATATATATTTAAATGTGGAGAGGTAAAGCAGTAAGATCGTGTAGCTCAGCGGCTACTTAGGCCCATTTTCATTCTGTTGAAAGCCCACGTCTTCTGTTCGAAACTTTTAAGATGCATTTAATTATCATTTTTTTACCAATTTCGTTTTAATGGCTGTAAAATGACCCTTCTACCCTCGTCTTCTTCCTGCAAAACCAGAAAACCCTAATCGCCGTCTCATTGTTTTTTTATTGTTTTCATGATTTCTTCTTACCTTTTTTGTTGTTTTACTTTCAAATATGATAGATCTAGTAAATAAATATCGATTTATGAGTTAAATTGGATAAAAGGTTGAAGTTTTCAAAATTTCCGATTTTTCTAGCGAATTACACGGAATCGCGGCGGTGGGGAACCGCCGAGCGAATCACCGCCGCAGAATCGGCCGTCGACGGCGCGTTTTCGAACAAGGATAAATACAATAAAATTTATTGAAACAAAAATATTAATTTTAATTAATAACCCGTTAAATTTTAAAATATTATTTAACGTAGATCATAACACCAGCATAAGTCAGTTTATATCATAATTCTCATGTTTAATCCATATAATGCAAATCCAAAAATATATATAATCGAATTTAAATCATATTCCTAATAACACAAAAATATATATTGTAACTCTTATGAATATTTATGAATTTTTTGATAAAAATAAAAACAATTAAAATACTAAATAGCTAAATAAAAAAAGTAAAAATTATATTAATTACCTCATAAAAACTATAAATATTGTTGTGAACCATTACATAAATATATGACTGATAATTGTATTTTATTAATATTATCGTTTTATTTCACATAAAGATTTATTCTCGTCAAATTTTATAAAGTATTAACTTCATATTAAATATAATATTATTATTTTTAGGGAAAATTGCAAAAATATCATTTTTATGTGTATATTTGCAAAAATACCACTTACAGGTGTTCATTTGCAAAAATGCCATTAATTATAGATTTGTAAACGCTATATCTTAAATTTCTAAACACTAAAAAATGTTTTGACTCCTAAACCCTCTTAAACCCTCATAACTAAACCTTAATAGAACATAATTAACCCAAACATAAATAATATAAACAACATATAAAATGTCTTTTTAATCCTATGAGAGAACAAAAGTAAAGTTCGTATATTTGTATTTTACTTACTAATGAGATTCTCTATTTGTTTGAACGGTATGTACTCATACTGGCTCATAAGTGATATCGCGACACCAGAACGTCCAGCACGAGCCGTTCTTCCCACTCTATGAATGTAATCCTATACCACATATATGCATGTTCTCAAAATATCATTGATTCATAAGCACATAAGCAAAAAAAAAAATTAAATTTTTTCAGAAGAAAAAGTTGGGCAAACCTTTGGATTTGCGGGAATGTCGTGATTGATAACCACATCAACCGATGGGATATCGAGCTCTCTACTAGCCACATCCGTACAAACCAAGATGTTGCATTCCCCTGATTTGAACTTATTCAAGGCTCCTAGTCTCTTTGACTGTGAATAGTATTTCGAAAAGAATGAGAGAGAATCAAGTCATGAAATGTTCATAAATTGGAGTGTATGTATCATTTACCTGAGTCATTTGACCGCTGATAGGAATGGCTCTAAAACCAAGTCTCCGAAGCATCAAAGCTAGAAAACGAGTTTCATCGCACATATTAGTGAAAAATCATTGTTGATGCTTCAGGCATTTCACTCAAAATGTATACAAGATAGCATTCCTGTTACGATGATAAAAAGCTCAATTTAGTCAAAGAAGATAAAACTCTCTTATTTGATTGATACTAACTATCTACCAGGCTCTTGTGATGAATACAAGGTACCTTGTATTTCTTAGGAACAAACATATACTGCTGTTTTAGAGTATCAACAGTGGAATATTTGGAGGCAGCTTCAATCTGAAGGAAAGTAACAAACACATTATATACAAGAAATAATTTCAAGTTATTTTAGTGTTGAATACCTTCACAGGATTCCTCAAACAAGCTCTTTGAAGTTTTCGAACCTACAAAGTAAAAAAAAAATCAGTAACTTTAATCTTAATTCTTAAACGATATTAAGAGACAGTTAGGTCGATCAAGGCAACAAAAATGTCAACCAAGGTCCATACCTTTTTAGTCATAGTCGCTGAAAAAAGAAATGTTTTACGGTCACGAGGAATCTCTTCCAAAATCTGGTTAAGAGATTTCTCAAAATCTTCATTCAGCAGTCTATCCACTTCATCAAGAACCTGTTGAATATATAATGTTAAGTGAATATAAGAATTACCAACACAATGTACCAAACTAAAAAGAATAAATCAAGCTTAAATTTACCAAATATTTCAATGTTTTCAGAGAAAAGCCTTTCGTATCAGACAAATGATCCCACAGACGACCAGGTGTTGCAACCTACGAAACAACATCGCAAAACTTAGCGACTAGATTCACTCATGAATCTAAGAAAACAATCTAAGAACTAAACGTACGATAACATGAGGCCGTTTCCCAAGAGCAATAGCTTGTTGCATTCTGTCTAAACCTCCAACAAGCTGTACAAAAACCAAGAAAATGATTCAAGTCTGATTTCGGTTTCAACGCGAGAATATGGTAAACGCAAAGCAACAAGAGCTTACCACATCACACCTAAGACTTATATTAGATCCTAGAGCTTCAAACTGTTCAGCAATCTGTATTGCAAGCTCTCTTGAGAGGAAAAGAAAACAGAACAATAAGAATGACTAAACCAATAGACAATGATCATCAAGTAAATGCTAGAAGAACCATACCGAGTTGGTGATAAAACACAAGCGAAGAAAGCAGGATCAGGTCTACGTCCTTTCTTAGGCTCAGAATCATAAACATACGTAAGTAGAGCTTGCAATATAGGCAAAGCAAAGGCTCCGGTTTTACCAGAACCGGTTTGTGCAAGTCCAATTACATCTTTCCCTATCAACACATAAGATTCCAATTGATAAAACCCTAATCTATCCAAATTTCCAAGCATCG